TCGTTGGCTTAACGATGGGCCGATGCTAGCCGAACTGGCGGTGGGGCTCCCTCATGAAGCCTCTTCCCTGTCAGTGGCGGAGATGGTTTTGAACGGGGATTGTAATATTGAATATCTACGTGCATTTCTCCCAGTTAGCATAGTTGAACAGGTCCTAATGCATGGAATACCCCAGGGAACGGAGTGTGATGTGCCCTTGTGGCGCTATACTGCGAACGGGGAGTTTTCTCTGAAAATTGCTTACGAGAGCCTCGAGGAGGCAGCCATCCCATACACGTCCACCCATTTTGGAAGAAGATTTGGAAAATTCCGGCTATGCAGCGAATCCGATCTTTCTTCTAGTTGGTTGGTCATGGTAGACTCCTGACAAATGCTGAGAGACGGAGGTGCCACTTAACTAATGTGGGAACCTGCCAGGTCTGCAGCGGTAATGATGAGTCAGTGATACACGTCCTGCGAGAGTGCCCATACGCGAGGGAGGTATGGTCCACTTTCCTTGTAGATGAGCCGGATGAGAAGTTCTTCACTCCGAATGAGAGCTGGTTGATGCATTACCTTTCAGGGAGGAGTGTGAACTTGGATCCATCCCTCTTTGATGTTGTCTGTTGGCTTCTTTGGAAGAACAGGAACTCCTATGTGTTCGAGAAAAAATTGGCCGCGCCAACCCATCTCCAAGTCACCGCACGGAGACTACGACAGCAGATTGAGGAGGCTTTGAAGATGGATGCTGAGGTCCCTGGCGAGTGGAACTGGGTTGGCTGGAATTGTCGCCAGCAGGGTTGGAGCTGTGTTAATACAGACGGGTCGGTGGCATTGGCGTCTCATAGTTCGACGGCTGGAGGGGTTGTGCGAGATGATCAAGGCCACTTCCTGGGAGCCTTCGTGATGAACTTGGGCGGTGGGTCGATCACCCGCGCCGAGCTAATGGGTATCCTCCAGGGTCTGCGGTGCGCTTGGGAGCTGGGTGTGCGAAAGATCATACTCCAAACGGACTCTCAAGCGGCGATTCAGATCGTCGAGGCAGCCACCAATACCCACCCACATTACCATATTGTGTTGCAGGTGAAGAGAATGGTGCAACGCAACTGGGAGGTGCGGATCGAGCACATTTATAGAGAGGGCAACATGGTGGCGGACTTCTTGGCGTCGACAGGGCATGATTTACCGGTCGGGACTCATCCGATTCTGGTCCCCGATCAGCGGCTGCAGCACTAGGTGCTCTTTGATCTTGTAGGGAGTCAAACTCCCAGACTCATTCCCCATTAGTTGTTTGGGCGCTCTGTCGCCTGTTTCCTTACAAAAAAAAAGTAGTATCGTATATTAACTTTTCAAAACGAATACTCAACTGGCTACTTCTGTGACAGGATATTAAATCTTGTTTTACGTGAATATTTAGAGATGGGAATCGGTCCAATTCGGTCGAATTGGAACAGATTGACATGGTTAACTGAATTGGATATACGTCAAAACGTCCAATTCGGTCAAAATGTAAAACGCAAACAGGATTGACATTAATTAACCAGCTAAGGAATATGCTTCCTCCCTTGTAGTACATTTACATGTACTTCTTCCAAGCTTGATGATGGTCTTATGGCTTCCAACACTTTTTCTTCCTTGTGATTGACTTCTCTTGGAAAGCTTTTGAACTCCAGCCATAAACGAATCAAATATTCTTTTTTGGTGAGTTGTGCACGACTTCACCTCCTCACAATTGGTCACCTTACTTAACCCTCTTATTGTAAGGATTTCCTGAATTTTGTTCATGCACTCTGGATCCCCCCATATTAGTAGCTCCCTCCTTATGTTCATCATCCTTCTCGTCACGAACTACATTAAATTGGGTGAATGACTTCAGAGAATTAGCTAAGCTGACCATTGATCTGGGGAGAACCGCTGGGACCATGTAATTAATTTTCAAGATGCTTTAAGTTGAGTAGCAGAGTCTCCAGGAGACCATTGAATAATTGAGTAGCAGAGTCTCTAGATTAAACAACTCACATATATATTTCTTCCGGCAACTTGCTCTCTAACTCTCATCTAAACCTTTTAATTATGCAATATACTTATACCCAACTATATAAAGTCATAAGTCTGTGGGAAGGACAAATGAACAAAATGAGAGCAAATGTAGTCGATATTTGAAAATAACACTATTGTTTTATCCAAAAAAAAAATAAGGCAAAATACACTTCTTTAGCCATAACTTTCGTGTTTTTGACAATAATAGCCATTTTTGGAGAAATACCAAATATAGCCACTTTCATCCAATACTTTAACCAAACATGCTGACTAGACTAATGAAAATGCTGACTTGGCGACGTTTCATCAACAACACTACCACATAGATTAATGAAAAATAAATGAAAAAAGTAATAATTAAAAGAAAAATATTTAACAACACACTCCCAAAGCCCTCCACGGCTCCACCACCCCCTCCGACCGTCCCCATCCCTCCACCTACCCCTCCGCCGTCCCGATGCTCCACTGCCCCATCCCTCCAACTACCCGCTCCGCCATCCCCATTCTCCATTGCTCCAGCATCGTCCAAACCCCCAAATCCTTCTCAACTCCCAATTGGAGAAAGTAGGTCGAGATCCACTTCAACTTCCCCAATTCCTTCCCCCGAAAAAATCTAATTTCCGAGAAATAATCCCCTTTGCCAAACAAAAAACCTAATTTCCGCTTCCGTTCTTGCTTCCCCAACCCACACAGATTCACCAATGGCGGAGGGAAACGGAGACGACCATGCCAATCATATGCCTCCTCGAAGCTACGGTGGTGACGACGACGCAGTTTGGTGAGAACGACAAGCTGAAGAGGACAGCAAAGTGCTGAGCTCGAGGCTTGCTCTCGCGAAGGAGGAGTGCGACGACCTTATATGAAGGATTACGTCAAGTTCGAGCATGACCCATAAGCTTGATCCTAGTCCATAAGCAATGAAGTTGCGCTGGCGGCCGGCAGTGCGGCAGCGAGCGCCGTGATGATGACGACGGAAATGGGAAATTGGAGAAATCGAAGGAGGAATTGGGGAAGTTGAATGAACCTGGGTGAGTTCTTGTCTCAAGAAGAAGAAATTTTTAAATGGGATTTAACATATGAAAATATTTTTTAATTTAAAGTGATGTGGCTGCCATGTGGCATAGCAAGTCTACGTGGACATGATGTGTCGTCTAGGTGGCAACCACATCACCATAATGTTCATCTAACTGACGGAATAGTTGACGGTGTTAAAAGTATTTGGCGGAAATGGCTAAATTAGTCCAACAAGTTTAAAAAATGTGGCTATATGTGGTATTTCTCCAAAAGTGGCTATTATTATCACAAACGTGAAAGTTATGGCTATAGAAGTGTATTTTACCAAAAGATAACACTAATGTTAGTAAAAAAAAATATTATATTGTGTTGATATGACTTGAATCGGATTATCAGCCGCTACGACTGGTAATCGGGGGTCTCGCTACCCGGTCAGCGAGTGGGGTCCAGGGGCAACGCCCCGGTGGGGGTTCTGACTCGGACTATGCTGGAGATGTTGACACGAGGAGATCGATGACCGGTTATGTATTCACTCTTGGGAGTTCTGTAGTGAGCTGGAAGGCAACTTTGCAGTCGGCGGTGACATTGTCTACTACTGAGGCAGAGTATATGGCGTTGACAGAAGCTGCTAAGGAGGAAATATGGTTGAAAGGACTGGTTGGTGATCTGGGTCTACATCATGATCAGGCAGTGGTGTATTGCGACAGTTTGAGTGCAATATGCTTGGCCAAGGATCAAGTCCACCATGAGAGGACTAAGCACATCGATGTGAGGTATCATTTCTTGAGGACAGAGAAGAGGATTAAGGTGAAGAAGGTTGGCACCGCGGATAATCCTGCTGATATGTTCACGAAGCCGGTTCCACATGGCAAGTTCCAACGCTGCTTGGACTTGCTGAATGTCTTGAGTGGGTGACTCTGCCCTACGGGGCATTGATGGCGGGAGAGAGAGAAGGAGCAGAGTACATCAGAGATTTCAGAGGAAGAGGATTCAAGTCAAGGTGGAGATTTGTTGATATGACTTGAATCGGATTATCAGCCGCTACGACTGGTAATCGGGGGTCTCGCTGCCCGGTCAGTGAGTGGGGTCCAGGGGAAACGCCCCGGTGGGGGTGCGGGGGCAACGCTACGACTGGTAATCGGGGGTCTCGCTGCCCGGTCAGCGAGTGGGGTCCAGGGGCAACGCCCCGGTGGGGGTGCGGGAGCAACGCCCCCGGCCCACGGTGTATGGGCTCAATGTTATTTGGGTTCGGGTTCTGGGCCTGGTCTGTAACCGTTTCCTTTGTCAGATTGGATTAGGTTTAGACCCACATGGAGAAGTGCTATAAATACTTCTCATACTCCTCTGTAATCTGTAATCTCCTTGATATAGTGAAATTGGCTCTCTCTCGCTCGTGGACGTAGCTAACACACATCGTGTTAGTGAACCACGTAAATTGTGTGTCGTGTTTTCGATTCTCGCTTTCGTATTCTTGCTTTGTCGATTCCAGCGATTTCCCGATCCGTAGCAGCGCGTTTATAACATATTGCATTGTTGGAATTGTATGTCGTCAAGTTCAATTCCATTTTATCATAATTTTATTATTCTGTCTTGAAAATTTCATGAGCCTATAATTGTAGGTACGTTTACGAGAAATTACAAGAAAGTTTAATTCAAATTTCGAAATTCGTTTGTCAGAATAATAAAATCGATGACCTTTTTCAAATAGGTCCATCTTTAACTATTTGGACTATATATGGTCTTGTTACTTTGTTAGCGGTCTTGGTTTTGCTTTTATAAATTAAATAAACTAAGGTCGTATGAATATTTTCCACATTTTTCATAAACTGTGAAAACAATGTTGTACCTTCACGTGAAAAGAGGATATTATATCTTTGATCACACAAATAATATTAAAATATATCTTGAACAGAAATTTTCTCAACCTTAACTTGGATGATCCGACAGAAAATCATAACGCACAAATACAATCTCATCCCTTGATATATAATTGTTTCATAGTAAATAAAAAAAAAATCAACCAAAAAATCAATCCCTCTATATATAATCTTAGCCATGTCGTCCACGGCATGAGGCACTTCCCCCGGCACGATGACAACCGGTGGGTCCCGAGGGGACTGGTCCTACAATTTCATCATCACCTTATCCCATCAGTGATCTTTTTTGTACTCAAACTCAAACTCATCAATGTCGACTCAAAATCCTACCTAATAAACCTTCTGATCGTGTACGTACGTAATACACTCTTATAGACAACTAATTAGGTACATACAGTCACATAACTCATAACTTTCAGAATCAGATGTAAGACAATTGAATCCGATCCCATACCCATTACAATTACAATTACAATTACATGGGATCCCCTCTTTCTATTTATTTCAGTCTTATATATAGATCAGCCTTTGGCGGCGGGACCTGACTTGCTTCCACAAGCTCCTACCCAAGGACAATTCTTACCTGCGGACAGAGGACTCGGGAGAGATCTAAGTATGAATCTTATAACATTCTCTAACATAACACGATTTAATCGGGGAAAAAACGATATGTAGCTGCTTACCGCGTTGGAGGAGTTGGCGAGTGGACTCTGCTGGGACTGCGGAAGACAGGACGAGCACCATGAACAGTACGGCTATCAGTTGAACGAAAGGAAGAGCCTTTCTCATCATCATCTTGACTGCTTCCATATCTCTTTGCTATGAAATATATGTCTGGGAGACGAGAGAGGTTTCATATATAATAACTGCAGGGAGGAGCGCTCTGCCCTTCTCTTTATGGTGCCCACAAAACTTTAAACGAGTCGATCGAGCCGCCAGACTTGACTACGTACAGTACTCTAAACTTGGCTAGTTGGCTTTATATATTCACAAGTGGGATATAGACATATGGTAAGCATATGTTTCAAACTTCGCGCCTGCCACCAAACCCAAGACTTGTTCTACATGATTGGTCCATTGTTTTTCACTTTCCACCGACAGTTTCCTTCTCTTTTAACACTTACTTTATTATTGTTATTAATTAAGATATTAGTTTAACGTTAGAACATAACATACTGCTAACGGGGGGAAATTATATAAATTTTGATAACTTGGACAAAGATAGACTCAAACTTGTGAAAACATGATTTGGTAAAACTCTACGGGAGAAGTTAGTGGTACAATCGTGATTCACTCAATTGTGTACGTGACTGTTATCGTTGTTAAAACAATATAACATATTAACTAACTATATATTGGTGTAATATCAGCAAAATCTGTCGATATTACAAAAATTGTTAATGTAATTGCATAAAAATGACTAGTATGGCATTTTGATAATATTTTTTGTACTATATGAACTTGTATAACGGTGCACAATATTTCTACGATTGAACCGATGATAAAATAAAATTTAGCAATTTTGGTATTAAGTAGAAAAACAAGCTCTCAAATTTAAATTCTAATATAAAAAATTGTGAGGAAGTGGTACATATTATAAATGGTTCTTTTCCAACAATTTGAGTTATTTATATCAGTTAGTTTATGATATGATATTTTTACCTAGTTTGTTTTATGTTTTCTTACACTGACCTGGTTTTTTTTTGGGTGAAAAACAGGGCGCAAAGGGCGCCCTAACCTATATTAAGAATTGACGAAACGGGGTGTTTGAATCCCGAGAGTATCAAAATACAACCAATACAGAAGATTACTACTCGGGTTTTGAATCCCGTGAACCCCTATGGGAACAGAGTGGCCAATGGAAGCGAGGTGGTCAGCCACGAAATCCGCTTCTCTGAAAACATGCTCTATCCTGACAAGCCAAGGCCGAGCTAGCCATTGGCGGATCTCTGCGACGCAGGAGTAATGAGGATGCTGCGGAGTCGCTTTCTCGATCAAAGTCCGGGCAGTGCAGGAGTCTGTCTGTAGAATAACCTTCCTGATCCCCTCTTCCTAAGCGAATCCCAACCCATAATCAATCCCAGCCAGCTCGGCACGAGTGATCGAACCCCCTCCTAAGTTCACTGTGAATGCTTTGATAAACCGGCCATCGTCTCCCCTCACGATGCCGCCACAACTCGTGCTCACAGGAGAGTGGGTGGCTGAGCCATCAGTGTTGACGCAGGCCCAACCACTCGGCGGTGGTTTCCAGTTAATTTCCCGCCTCTCTCGGAGTCCCCCGGCTCCGAACACATTGCTCTCCCGTTCAAAGGCTTTGGTGATCTGAAGCCTTAGCTGTTTGGTGGTAAACTGGAGCTGCTCATGGGTTTTCAACTCGCTTCGAAATAGGTGATCATTCCGGTTCTTCTACAGCAACCAGCACGTGCCTGCAAAAAGGGTACTATCAATGACGTTACTCCGCCCAGATAAGTAATGCATTGACCACCTGTGAAGCTCGTGTTCAAGGAAATCGGCATCAGGTTCATCTTCAAGGATCCCCGCCCAAGTGGCTCTCGCAAAGGGGCAGTCTCTCACAATGTGAAGTGCAGTATTCGGGCCCCCGCCGCAAATTTTGCAGTCGACGTTCGTTGTTAGATGGCGTCGAGCCCTTTCGGCGTTGGTCAGGAGGCCGTTATGGTTGAGCAGCCAGAGGAATGCACGTATCCTCTGCATCGTGGGGGTCTTCCAAATTGATCTCCAGATAGGTTGGCTCGTGACGGGGCTTGCTGCGTCGTCGTTTGTCAAAAACGCAGTTTTTTGACAGAAAAGGGTGGATCCGAGGATATCTTAATACCCGATTTTCCCAGGGAATGCGAGGATATGATAATTGTTTAAAACCCCATTTCCTTAGACGTGCATCTCTTTATAAAGAGTCGAAGTAAGTGGCACTATGTATTCGATTAAATTATTGAAAACAACCAACACGATTTAAAATTCAACATAAATTTATTTTATATTCCACTAAATACATTAGCAAAATAAAAGAAAGACAAATGATGAAGAATTGTATGTACCGGGTGATCGTTCCAAACATCCCTTGACCGATGGTTGGGTTGGTCGTATAATTCGGTTGGATCCAACAGTCCTTGCTCGAGATAATACCGTTGGTTGTATATATACACGTCGTCCCCAACCTACGAGAAAATAACAACGATGTTAGTACATAGATTAATTAAAAAGCTTATAACAACAACAAAAGTTAAACCAGAATAATGAGTACGTACCGCTAGAAATTCATCAACATAAACTCCCTCTCCTTGCCACCACTTGCTAATTTTTTCGGGAAATTCGGACAGAGATTCGGCTCGACTCGGCGGGTTTTGAGAAAAAAACCAAAGATATGTTTTCTGATGGCAGATCGGACTTAGCCGCAACCAACATACCACTATTTCCTAGGCTTTTGGGAGGGGAGTGTTTATAGAGATAATTCTAGAGAGAGAGGGAAGAATGGGTTGTGGTGTGAAGAAATGAGGGGGGAAGGGTGGGTATTTATAGTTTTCAGACCGCACCCTTTAGGGGCGGTCTGGTAATTTTACCCTAGCAGAAACCGCACCCTTCCAATACGGTCTGCTTTCCCGAGGCACTGACCACATCCTGCAAGTGCGGTCTAAGGCTCCACTACGTGGATTGTTGAGGTGGCATGCGGTCCGCCGTTGGATCGCCGCCCCATCCAACGGTCTCCAACCCGAGGATATCTTAATACCCGATTTTCCCAGGGAATGGGAGGATATGATAATTGTTTAAAACCCCATTTCCTTAGACGTGCATCTCTTTATAAAGAGTCGAAGTAAGTGGCACTATGTATTCGATTAAATTATTGAAAACAACCAACACGATTTAAAATTCAACATAAATTTATTTTATATTCCACTAAATACATTAGCAAAATAAAAGAAAGACAAATGATGAAGAATTGTATGTACCGGGTGATCGTTCCAAACATCCCTTGACCGATGGTTGGGTTGGTCGTATAATTCGGTTGGATCCAACAGTCCTTGCTCGAGATAATACCGTTGGTTGTATATATACACGTCGTCCCCAACCTACGAGAAAATAACAACGATGTTAGTACATAGATTAATTAAAAAGCTTATAACAATAACAAAAGTTAAACCAGAATAATGAGTACGTACCGCTAGAAATTCATCAACATAAACTCCCTCTCCTTGCCACCACTTGCTAATTTTTTCGGGAAATTCGGACAGAGATTCGGCTCGGCTCGGCGGGTTTTGAGAAAAAAACCAAAGATATGTTTTCTGATGGCAGATCGGACTTAGCCGCAACCAACATACCACTATTTCCTAGGCTTTTGGGAGGGGAGTGTTTATAGAGATAATTCTAGAGAGAGAGGGAAGAATGGGTTGTGGTGTGAAGAAATGAGGGGGGAAGGGTGGGTATTTATAGTTTTCAGACCGCACCCTTTAGGGGCGGTCTGGTAATTTTACCCTAGCAGAAACCGCACCCTTCCAATACGGTCTGCTTTCCCGAGGCACTGACCACATCCTGCAAGTGCGGTCTAAGGCTCCACTACGCGGATTGTTGAGGTGGCATGCGGTCCGCCGTTGGATCGCCGCCCCATCCAACGGTCTCCAACCCGAGGATATCTTAATACCCGATTTTCCCAGGGAATGGGAGGATATGATAATTGTTTAAAACCCCATTTCCTTAGACGTGCATCTCTTTATAAAGAGTCGAAGTAAGTGGCACTATGTATTCGATTAAATTATTGAAAACAACCAACACGATTTAAAATTCAACATAAATTTATTTTATATTCCACTAAATACATTAGCAAAATAAAAGAAAGACAAATGATGAAGAATTGTATGCACCGGGTGATCGTTCCAAACATCCCTTGACCGATGGTTGGGTTGGTCGTACAATTCGGTTGGATCCAACGGTCCTTGCTCGAGATAATACCGTTGGTTGTATATATACACGTCGTCCCCAACCTACGAGAAAATAACAACGATGTTAGTACATAGATTAATTAAAAAGCTTATAACAACAACAAAAGTTAAACCAGAATAATGAGTACGTACCGCTAGAAATTCATCAACATAAACTCCCTCTCCTTGCCACCACTCGCTCATTTTTTCGGGAAATTCGGACAGAGATTCGGCTCGGCTCGGCGGGTTTTGAGAAAAAAACCAAAGAAATATTTTCTGATGGCAGATCGGACTTAGCCGCAACCAACATACCACTATTTCCTAGACTTTTGGGAGGGGAGGGTTTATAGAGATAATTCTAGAGAGAGAGGGAAGAATGGGTTGTGGTGTGAAGAAATGAGGGGGGAAGGGGGGGTATTTATAGTTTTCAGACCGCACCCTTTAGGGGCGGTCTGGTAATTTTACCCTAGCAGAATCAGCACCCTTCCAATGCGGTCTGCTTTCCCGAGGCACTGACCACATCCTGCAAGTGCGGTCTAAGGCTCCACTACGCGGATTGCTGAGGTGGCATGCGGTCCGCCGTTGGATCGCCGCCCCATCCAACGGTCTCCAAGCCTGAGGATATCTTAATACCCGATTTTCCCACGGAATGGGAGGATATGATAATTGTTTAAAACCCCATTTCCTTAGACGTGCATCTCTTTACAAAGAGTCGAAGTAAGTGGCACTATGTATTCGATTAAATTATTGAAAACAACCAACACGATTTAAAATTCAACATAAATTTATTTTATATTCCACTAAATACATTAACAAAATAAAAGAAAGACAAATGATGAAGAATTGTATGTACCGGGTGATCGTTCCAAACATCCCTTGACCGATGGTTGGGTTGGTCGTATAAGTCGGTTGGATCCAACGGTCCTTGCTCGAGATAATACCGTTGGTTGTATATATACACGTCGTCCCCAACCTACGAGAAAATAACAACGATGTTAGTACATAGATTAATTAAAAAGCTTATAACAACAACAAAAGTTAAACCAGAATAATGAGTACGTACCGCTAGAAATTCATCAACATAAACTCCCTCTCCTTGCCACCACTTGCTCATTTTTTCGGGAAATTCGGACAGAGATTCGGCTCGGCGGGTTTTGAGAAAAAAACCAAAGAAATGTTTTCTGATGGCAGATCGGACTTAGCCGCAACCAACATACCACTATTTCCTAGGCTTTTGGGAGGGGAGGGTTTATAGAGATAATTCTAGAGAGAGAGGGAAGAATGGGTTGTGGTGTGAAGAAATGAAGGGGGAAGGGTGGGTATTTATAGTTTTCAGACCGCACCCTTTAGGGGCGGTCTGGTAATTTTACCCTAGCAGAAACCGCACCCTTCCAATACGGTCTGCTTTCCCGAGGCACTGACCACATCCTGTAAGTGCGGTCTAAGGCTCCACTACGCGGATTGCTGAGGTGGCATGCGGTCCGCCGTTGGATCGCCGCCCCATCCAACGGTCTCCAAGCCCGCTGCCCAGAAAACACAAACCGCACTCGGATGATGCGGTTCGATTGCTGACGTGGATTGGACCGCACCCTTAAGGTGCAGTTTATAATTAAAACGCACCGTCCTGGTGCGGTTTATTTATAAAACGCACCTCGGCACTTCTCGTGTATATAACCCAAACCTCTGGCTGTTCCCAGCGCGATGTCGTATCTCGTCTTCCAATCTAAGGTCTTGGACTCATTTTCGTGAAACAAATGACACGCCAACGAACCATTAGGCATGTAGTCATAGACTAAAAGCATTCCAGTGGCATCACAAGTGAATCCTCTGAAACCAACCAGATTAAGATGTTGGATTACGCCAAGTGTTGTGACCTCCGCAAGGAACTGCTTGTGCTTTTCTGCTTGGCTGAAGCTGATGCCCTCCACCTTCTTAACTGCTACAACACTCGAATCAGGAAGTGTGCCTTTATAGACAGAACCAAAACCTCCTTCTCCCAACTTCTCCGCGAAATTCCTTGTAGCATTCTTCAACTCTTTGTGGTTGAAACCCACTGTCACTAGAGACCCTTCCATAACCTTTCCATGTTTAGCCTTTTGCTGCTTTCTCCATCTTCTAAAGACTACCAAGATAACGAGAACCAGCAGCACAATCGAACCCACCACACAACTTGTTAGATAGTTGTATAAGATCCAGCATAACCTTCTCCCAATAATTCGAGTTATTGGGAGCAACTGGTTCATGACATGGTATCAGAGCTGGTTTGGCCAAGTGGTCGTGTGTTCGAATCTCCACGACCCCCAATATTAACCGTTGTCTTCAAGCACATGGTATGGCGGGCATGTGCAAACTTCAAGCCCATAGGTTGGCTTTCGTTTGAGGGGGCGTGTTAGATAGTTGTATAAGATCCAACATAACCTTCTCCCAATAACTCGAGTTATTGGGAGCAACTGGTTCATGACACAACTAACATCAATCCATTTCTTGTGGTTCGAACTTGGGAATTCCTCGGCTGCAAGGTTAATGCAGATGGTTTGTCCACTTGGGACGTCTTGCCGCATATTCAGGAGATCAACGTACCAAACTGAGCATTCAGTACCATTGTAAGAAAAAGCTGTACAGCTGCAAGAGCTCAGACAAGATGTCTCGCATTCCTTTGAACTTCCAGCTGCTGAGATCCGAGCATTGTCAGGCAAGCGCACCACAGGAATGGGCCAAAACCGGTCAGTTTTGTCACAACGAAGAGGGGAACTTCTGTAGCAGCCACCGTAAAAGGCCCCGGAACCGTAATCAACCTGAGACGCGGGAACAAACCCCGTCAAACAACGACAGGGGGAGGAGCCTGATTCCCCGGTAAAGCTCCCATATGGACCACAATAACGATCAATTTCATATAGAAATGCAGGCTGCCTCCAGATTACAAGCCATCGCTTGGTGAATTCCTGCCAGGAGAGCAGCTGAATCTGGCCTCCGGGATCTAGAACGTACCTTGAAATCAGGGAGCCCTTGTGTTGAGAATACGTTAAGCAAGTCTCACTCTGATTATCGAAATAGGAAAACTGGTTCATGAAATTCAATGTCCTCTGCCACTCGTGACCAGGCCAATAGTACTTCCACAGCTCAATCGACCGGTTTGACCCCAGCTTGAGTAAGAAGGGACCTGGAGCAGGATCTTCTATGTTCCTCCAGGAAGTCAGAGAGATATCTCGTTGCGTAACTTTATTGAATCCAATCTTGCTACCTGGAATCCAGGTATCACCAGGTTCATCAAAGCTCTGCCAGAGCGGGGGATTGGGGGGAAATGGAGAGGACCCATTAGGTAATTGGACAAGATTTCCGTCGTCGAGAAGTACAACTTGAACGGAATGGTGAGGGGCAGAGCTTACACGGTTGGACCAAATCTCGACATTTGAGCTGTTGTACAGAGCCAGACACCCGTTGAGAGAAACCCTGAGCTCGGACGAAAACTTGTTGGAAACAGGGGAGCCTCTGTTTGCTACCCAAACTACAGTCCGCGGGGAGACTTGTTTGTACCAAATTCCGATGTAGTAATTTTCTGATTTCCCGGGCATGAAGAAACCCAATTCGAAGGCTCCACCTGCCGAGACGATGGTTTGATCGCCTGAAAGTGATTGGGTTGCAGTGATTCTATCTGCTCCACTACAGGGGTTAAGTTTGAGGCAGCAGAAGCAGAGGATTAGAAGGGAAAGCCTGAACAAGATGGTTCCCATTTGAAGTTGGGAAAGAGTAGAATATGTAGATTGTGAGGCAGAAAGATCTAGTAACTAAAGATTAAGATTTGGCTAGTCCAACCAAAGAGAAAGCACGACGCCTACGGTATGGGGAGATGCAGGAAGTCGGGAACTGAGAGTGGGAAGTCCCTACTCTCTCCACAAGTCCACACGAAGCCGGTAAAAGTAAGCCTCAAGAATTCATATAGGGTGGAGCTCTGTTTTCCTCGTATGGAGCCTCAAATTCCAAGGCCGCCACACTTGACTACATTTGTCTTTGTCAAAGGAGGACGTGTAGAGATAAACGGGGGTAGAATAGTTGATTGTGAATGTAGTACTAATTAGGGTATTCAAATGGTTACTATGGCAATTAACAAATCAAATAAGTCTAAATCTTATTAATCCTTTATCTATAAAAAATCCTATTATTCATGAAATATAGGGGTATTTAAATTATGACGTGTCAACTTCAACTTATTTAGCGCTGACGTGTGCGTTGAGTTGGCACCTAGTCAGCGAACCGTCAAAGAAGTTGACGGTGTTAATAACACCGTTAAAGTATCTACGGAAATGGCTATATTTGTCCAACACCCTTTACCAAATCTGGCTATAAATGGTATTTTTTCAAATTTAGCTATTATTGTCACAAATGCGAAAGTTTCGGCAATACAAGTGTATTTTGCCAAAAATTTAACCAAACCAAACCAATTATCCAGATTAACCAAACCAAATTGTCCAAATACTACAGGTTAAAAAGGTTACCATGGTAACCACTCCGTTTGAACACCTCTAATATTAATCATTGGCAGCTCCTGTCAACGCCATGTACTCTATTTCAGTAGTAAGCAATGTCACTATGGACCACAGAGTTGCTTTCCGCCTCACCACAGAACTCATAAGAGTGAATACATAAACAATCATGATATGACACTGATATGATATTGGTATGACACTCATGTGATGTTGGTATAAGGTCTTAGAGGTCGTTTGCTTGTAGGATTTTCATCATGGATTTTGGATCAAAATCCCATACCCATGGGATTATGCACAAAGTCCATGTTTGGTGTTAAAGTGGTGTTGGATTATGGTGTGTGGGCCCCATGTATGTGAGATTATTTTGAGGTCAAAATCCGTGGGGTCCACGGATTATAAAATCCCACCTATTTAGTTGAAATTTTATGGGGGGCTAAAATCCATGATGTTAAATGACGGGTCTATCCTCATCTCTTTTCAATTTTCTAGATTGAACATTAAGTACACAAATCATTAAGGATACAAATGTAAATTCAGTGCATAATTGATAAATCTCATGGACACAAATCCAATATAAAATCCAACAAGCAAACATGCAATTTTTAAAATCCAATACAAATCCAAAATAAAAAAATAGCAAAATGAATATCATTGTTTAGATATTCAGTAATGCATTTCTTATACTCAATTTGTTTTAAAGTATGATATACAATGAAGTAGATGAGTCATCATACCATTGTCATATCATGATGATAAAGGATTAGAAAAAGAAAAATTTCTCTCTTCTCTAGATCCGTGTCAATAAAAAAAGACAGTGGGTACATAATTACTCGTCCGCTCCTCTGTTGTTGTATTTTTAGAATTAATCTAAATAATTAAATAAACCAAGGAATAAAGAGTTGATGATTGAGTTTTGTAATGAGTTTGTATTTATGAGTTTTTTACTCTATCTTTCTCAAAGAATATTGTATGAATATTCCTAACTTGGACTATAGTCTTGTTAACGGTGTCGATTTTGCCTTTATAAAGTAAACAATGGTTGAATGAATGTTTTCCGTATCTTTCATAAACGGTAAAAAGAATGTTGCCCTTCATCGTGGAAGAGAATATTATTCCTTTCATCATAACAATAATATAAACGGGTGCGCCTACGGTGACATGCATGTCACGGTGACTTGCACTTTTCAGTCGACCTCATTTAGTATCAGATCGACCTCATATAGGATTAGGTCGACCTAATCGGTTGTTTCAATATAAAAACAGTTTCATGGTGCCTATTTTGGAGATTCATATCTTACAATTGGCTCGATGGAAATTGGAGATTAATGGCTTGTTTTGAAGCTGGGGTGTCCCTCTACACATTGAAGTGTTTGGGAGCTCGATAGGAAGTCCAGAAGACCATTTTTGAACTTGATCAAAAGGCTATGCCAAAACTGGGAAAATGGCTGAAGAACGTGTTTGTAAAGCCTACTTTGGAGCTCAATTCGAGAAGCATGGATGCGAGTCCAGTCCAGGGGCCTCTACCACGTTAAATTAGGTATATATTCATACAAAGTCAAGGCATTGGATCAAAGATTGGATATCTTTAAGACTTCAAACAAAAGCGTCGAAGTTGCTACGAAGACTGTTGCTCGAAGTCTGCCTAAAAACAGTTTTCGTAGCAACTTCGACCCTTTTGTTTGAAGTCTTACAGATATCCAATCTTTCATCCAATGCCATGACCTTGTTTAAAAACATACCTAATTTAACGTGGTAGAGGCCCCTGGACTCTATTCGCATCCATGCTTCTCGAATTGAGTTCCAAAGTAGGCTTCACAAACACGTTCCCAGACGGCCATTTTCAGGTAGTTTCCCAGTTTTGGCATAGCCTTTTGACCAGGTTTAAAAATGGTGTTCTGGACTTCTTATTGAGCTCCCAAGTACTTTAATGTGTAGAGGGACACTTCAGCTTCAAAACAAGCCATTGATCTCCAATTTCCGTCTAGCCAATTTTAAGATATGAATCTCTAAAGTAGGCACCATGAAACTGTTTTTACCACTAAAACAACATATTAGGTCGACCGAAAAGTGCATGTCACCGTGACATGCATGTCACCGTAGCAAATTCCAAAAAGTTATCATGAACAGAAATTATCTTTCAACCTTAACTTGGATAACCCGACAGAAAATTATGATGCACTAATACAAACCCACGATAGGGGTGGGCATCCGGTTCGGTAAACCCGAACCGAACCGGACCCAAACCGAGTACAACCAAACTGAAACCGAACACTATTAATTTGTTTCGGAACTCGGAAGCCAAAATTCTATAATATTTCGGAACCCAGGGTATGCACTACCGAACCCGAATTTCAATTAACCGACCGAAAAACCGAATATAGCCAAGCCCACCCTCCCAGCCTAGTTTCTCATCTCGGCCCACATACTCACAACACAATTTACACAGTCAGTCCCTCAGCTGAGCCCACCCAACTTGACACAACCCTAAGCCTAGTCAACCACAACCTTATACGACAGCCGCCACCAACCCTCAGGCCTCAACCTCTTCCTCAAACCTCAACCTACCCTGAGCTCCTTCGATGAGGCGAATACAGATCCTGGGAGGGATCGGCGGCGGCGGATTCCTCCTCTTCAATGGCGCTGCCGACATGCAGGCAAAGCTACCAACCACCATCTCTTGCCTTCGATGTCGTCGCCAGCGGGAGAAGAGGGTCTGAAGCAGTACGCCCAATACTTCTTTCAGATCTGAAGGAGAAAGAAAAGGAGTAGGCGAAGAAGAGTAGATCCGGCGGTGGCGGGTTTGCCTTGAGGAGCGGCACCAACGGTGGCGGCGGGCTCGGCCTTGAGGAGCGGCGGCGTCCTCCACAGTCCCCTGTCTTCTCTTCATCGCCACTATTCCCCGCCATCATGCCTGCAACCGCATCCTTCTTTCCCTAAGCTCCCTCACATGTTCATTTTGTTTTTTAAGAAGATTTTAGTGCTTTGTGTGTGCAGGTAGAGTGGAAGAAAGGAGATGAGAGATGGAGAAGGAAAATTGAATGGGATGAGAGAGAGGGGGCAATAATAGTTTGGAATGGGAACAGGTCCAAAATTTACAAAGAGGAAGGGAAAGTTTGTTCGGGTTTGGGGCTGAAATCGGACCGAACCGATATATATTTTGGTTCGAACCGACCGAACCGAAATATATTTTGGTTCGGAATCGGTTTGAAGTTTGACATAAATCGGGGACCCGGTATACAGCATTTCGGTTAGGTCGAAACCGAACCCACCGAATGCCCACCCCTAACCCACGATATATAATTGTTCCACAGTAAATAAAAAATAAACCAAAATGCATATTTGTAACGTACAAATACAATCCCACTATATATAAATCTTAGCCATGTCGTCCAACGCACGAGGCACTTCCCCCGGCACGATGAGAACAACCGTTGGGTCCCGACGACACTGGTCCTACAATTTCATCATCATCACCTTATTTCATCATATCCTTTCTCTTTCCTTTCATCAATACCCCGGCCCTAAGGGTGAATTCACCCACTCAGGACATTTAACAGATCCAAGCATTGCTGGAACTTGCCATATGGAACCGGCTTCGTGAACATATCAGCAGAATTGTCCGTGATGTCAATCTTCTTCACATTAATCCTCTTCTCTGTTATGAAGAAATGATACCTCACGTCGATGTGCTTAGTCCTTGCATGGTGGACTTGATCTTTGGCCAACCATATTGCACTTAAAATGTCACAATACACCACTGTCTAATCATGATGTAGACCCTGATTTCCAATCAGCCCCTTCAACCATATTCCCCCCTTGGCATCTTCTGTCAACGCCATGTACTCTGCTTCAATAGTAGGCAATGTCACTATCGACTGCATAGTTGCTTTCTCGCTCATCACAGAACTCCCAAATAGTGAATACATAACCGGTCCTGATATTACAATGATATATGATAGTGGTATGACACTCATATAATGTTGGTATGAGGTCTTATGTTTGACAAACATAACAAAAAATGAATATTATTGTATAGATATTCACTAATGTGTTCTTTATATTCAATTTGTTTTAAAGTATGAGATACAATGAAGTAGATGAGTCATCATACCACTGTCATATCATGATGATATGATAGTGATAATACTACAACCGAAACGTATTTTGAAGAGTTAATTTTTTTTCTTTGCTCAACATATAGCAAAGTGGATATCAATGTGTAGATATCATAATTAATGCGTTATTTT